CTACGACCTAACTGCGAGGGCTCAGGACGGAAGATCTGCTTTGGGGACGGGCCCGATGCACTGTGCCCTGCCGCGAGGCAGAGATCGCAAGAGTCAAGGATGCCAGCACCGCGGAGGATGCGTCCGGAGCCTGAGTGCATCAAGACACCAGAATCTGCGACAAGACAAGTCCAGGCCGATTGGTGTTGTTCTTGCTGGTCACATGCCTTGAGGCCAGCTCCAGCAGCCCGGAACTCTACGGGTGCAGGAAATGAGATCACAGAGGCCCCTCTGTCGCGACAGCCCTTTTCGGGTGCGAGCAGAACTCGTCCATGGATCCTGTGGGGATTTGGATCCAGGGCAAATTCATCAGATTTTTAGTGTAAGACTTGCGCAGCACAAGGTCCTCGGCAAGCCGAGTGGCCAGGCTTCGGCTCCGGAGCCAGCAGTGATCTCAAAAAGCCCCAGACCTCCGAAGCTTGGGAAGCTTGGAAGCTTCCGAACTTCGCAGGCAAAGAAGCCGACCATCGATCTCCCGGTTCGGGACGAGGAAGGGGCTGCACAGATGCATGCCCAAGTGACCTGCTTCTCCCTTCCTGCACGCATGGACAGGCTGTTAGGGATGGAGACAGCCACGAGGTGGGTGAACGGGTACGGGACAGTCAGCGGACGCCTTCAATCAGTAGAACGCCGTACTTGTGCTTGAATTGTGTGGAAATTTAAGACTGCCCGCGTGCGCGCAGTCTTCATACCGGAGCGAGGCTCGCTTCGAAAATGGGGAGGAGGCCACCCCTCCGTGCAGACAATCCTGTGCTGTTGGTTTTTTCTGCGTTCGAACATCTGCGTAGTTGCAGATGCGGGCGTGGCTGCCGCAGTCTCTAGGTGCAGTATTTCAGCGAGACGAAGGAACGATGGATCGACGCGGTCGCACCTCTGCTGCATGGGCAAGTTGAATTGAGTCCCTGCCGAAAGTATGGATCAAGGGAGCTACGTTGAGATCGATGTGCATCTGAGCTCTGCTTCCTGGCTGAGGTGGAAGGCCACCACGCCAAGGAGCGATGGGCATCGTAACGCGAAAGACGTTGCACTTTGACAGCATCTTGCTCGTGCGGCGCAGCTTTTGCCTACAAGGACGGGGCCATCGTCACCTACGACCTCAATTGCAAGAAGGGGGTTCCGGCTGAGCGGCTGCGCCACTCTGGGGTCCAGTACAAGGTCGACGCCTCAAGACGGCCACGATTCAGGAAACCAGCATTGAGGAAAGTCCGTGATTCATGAAGCTGTCGGTTCAGGAAACCACGCGAATCGGGAAACCTACCAGTAGCGATTCCAAAATCCACGCGAGGCAGGAAAACCACGCGATTCAGGAAATTTGCGATGCAGGAAACTACTTTACCATCTGCAAGCCTGCCCGGACTGCCCCACCGAGGCTGTAGACGTACGATTAGTAACGATTAGTAATACTTACTTGTAATATCTCCTGACCACCGCCTGTTTGCGAAGTTTGCCGCGTGGCTGGATCGGTGGACTTACTCTGATGCTTTCAATCCTTCAAAGTCACAGAGGCACAACTCAGCGTGTAGGGCCTGTAGGATCGACTGTAAGGTAGGCGAGCTGGTGGAATACTGG